CACATATTTTCTAGGAGTTCAATCTTTGTCAATGTATTGAGGCTCGTTCTGTGAGTGAGTAGATGGTCTACTCTGGAGAAGACTCAAGTCTACTAGAGACTGTATATTGTGCTTTGGATGAGTGGAATTGTCTGTGTGCCAACACAAGTTTTGAAAAATTGCTACCAAGTCATAGAAATCTTTCATCAAAAATACCAAAAGGTGAAACTTATTTCTCGACTTATATCCTCCATCTAGGTCTCAGGTTCCCAAACTTATTTTTAAAAATAAAATCTACTCAGCATCCCCCACAGCAATTCAAACCTTTTGTACTATAGCCCATACTTCAGGCTACTTTTGTAGCCTCCCTAAACTGGTTCAGTGGCCCCTGCTGCGCGCGCGCACACACACACTCCCCACATGGCGGTATGGTCCACTTTGCGACACGGATTTGGGTTTGTACACTTCTGAAGATGGTGTTTCCTTCTCTCAAACTCATCCCCCCAAAAAACTCAGTGCTCTTCCACGTAGGGCAGCTGGGGCATCGCCTCGCGTCCACTCGTGTTCCTTTGGAAGGTCCTTTGTGGTTGGGAAACACCAAAGTCTGCTGGAGCAAGACCAGGGCTGGAGAGCAGCTGAGCTGAGGTTTCCCAGGGAACCGCTCCGAAGACAGTCTCCTTCCTCCTCCCGAAGGATCGGGTGTGCTGTCATGATGGGAACACTCACGGGCACAACAGCCCTGGCCTTTTTCTCACCGACGAACTTTTCCATTTTCTTTTTTGTTGTTGTTTTTGAATTGGACCGTTATCATTGTATTGAGGACTCGTACAGCTCTTAGCACAATCCATCCATCCATCATGTGAAACACATTTGTACATTTGTTGCCATCATCCTTTTCAAAACATGTTCTACTTGAGCCCTTGGTATCGGCTCCTCATTTTTCCCCCTTCCTTGCCCTCCCGCCCTCCCTCATGAACCCTGGATAAATTATAAATTATTCTTTTTTTCATGTCTTACTCCAACCGCTGTCTCCCTTCACCCACTTTTCTGTTGTTCGTCCCTCCTCCCCCCCAGGGGGGAGGGAGTAATATGTGGATCATGGTGATCAGTTTCCCCTTTCTTCCCACACCTTCCCCCTACCCTCCTGGTATCACTACTCGCTCATTACTGGTCCTGAGGGGCTTCCTTAAAACTTCCTGTGACCTTCGTGAAACTCTATAAACATTTCCAAAGATTTCTGTAACCTTCTGAGCTGACCTCTCACCCTTGAACTTCACTGGTGAGCGGTTCCCCAAGAAGCCACTGTTTTGATTGTCATTCATTTTCTGAAAGGCATCCGAACGTGACGACGGACAAACCGTGACTGAGAGGCATGCTTAAATGTGTCTTGTAGGAATAAGCTCACACATACATACATGACCGAGGGGTCCTGGTGGTCTAGTGGCTGCAAGTTGGGCTGCTAACTTTGAGGTCGTCAGTTTGAAACCACCGGGCACTGCACTGGAGAAAGAGGGAGCTTTCTACTCCCAGAGAGTTGCGGTCTCAGAAACCCACAAGGGCAGTTCTACCCTGTCGTGCAGGGTCACTATGAATCAGCATCGAATCCAGGGCCATGAGTTTGAACTAGAGCCCCTCCGTGCAATCCTTTCAGACTTACCCTTGAACCTGGTGCTTTTGAAAGGACACATTGCTACAAGATGCTGCCAGCAGTCACAGTGCTTACTACCACCTCCCTAAGCCTTTGAGAGCTCTGAGTCTGGCCAGACCCAGAC